CAGCGGCGGCACGTCACGGGACAGCACATGGGACCCGAGACCCGTGTGCCAAACGGCACAGTGCTGGCCGGGGCACTGGGGGCCAAGGCGTTCGCTGTGAGCGTGGGGAAGCACGCCAAGTTTCGCTGCTATGTCACTGGCAAGCCCAAGCCAGAGATTGTCTGGCAGAAGGATGGTGACGGGACAGCACATGGGACCCGAGACCCGTGTGCCCAACTGCACAGTGCTGGCTGGGGCACTGGGGGCCAAGGCGTTCGCTGTGAGCGTGGGGAAGCACGCCAAGTTTCGCTGCTATGTCACTGGCAAGCCCAAGCCAGAGATTGTCTGGCAGAAGGATGGCAAGTCCCTCGTCCCCAGCCGCAGGCACCTCATCTATGAGGACCGTGAGGGTTACTTCATCCTCAAGGTTCTGTACTGCAAACCCCAGGACCAGGGCCTGTATGTCTGCACCGCGTCCAACACTGCTGGCCAGACCCTCAGTGCAGTTCAGCTCCAGGTGAAAGGTAGGAGTGTGGCCAAACGCTGCTGGAGATAGCCAGGCGCTGGGGGTTGGGGGGGTGTCCAGGGATTTTCATCTGGCAGCAACGTGTCTGTGTGTGAGCCCAGCATCCCTGGGCAACCACATGTCTGTGCAGATGGGGTCATCCCAGGCTCCTCAGGAGAGAGTTGTGGGCTGGATACAGGGGATGCTGGGCTCCCCTGGAGAGCTGACTCCCCTCGTGCCCCTCTCTCCTTGCAAGCAGAGAGGTGGTTTCTCTGGAGGGCTGCAGATGTCCATCCATGAGTGGGGAAGGGGGACAGTGGCTTGGTGACAAATTCCCTTGAAAGTGCCAAGAGGTTTTGGCAGGCAGCCCTGCAGGGCACGGCTCCAAGCATCTGCACTAGTGGCAGCCCTGTCCCCTAGCGCCACCCTGCCAGATGGGGACACCCTGCCTCTGGGGTGACCTGGCACCTGGTGCGCACCCCACCTACACGCCACTGCTCTCCTCCCCTGACATGCCTGCTTTGACATGCTGGAATACATGCTCGTGAGTCCCCCAGAGCTCCT